ATGCCTATGCGCCCTTCCACCTCGGCGCCCACCACCACCTTGTGCGTTTCGCCGCGCGCGCGCTTGCCTGGATGCTGAATCAGGCCCACGCGCGGGTAGCCTGCATCGCAGGCGGCGAAGACCTCACGATCACGACGACAGGGGTCGTCGGGGCGAGGAGCGGAGCCATGCCACGAGAGCTTCTGAAAACCTGTATGGTCATCAATATTCAGCATCTCGACAAACGGTCCCCGCGGGAAGGGCGAGCGGTGGACAACCTGCTCGTGAGGCCGCAAGGCCCCGAAGCTGTGCAAGACGCCTTCATGTGCAGAGTTGGCAATCTCCACCGCCATGTTGTCGCCCATCGCTAGAGCATTGAGGCAAGGCGCGACGTCCACACCTTCGAGCTCGGGGCGCCAGGCTCGAAAGGCCTTGAAGCGGGATGATGGCAGACGAACGCGAAGGGCGTTACGCCTGGCGCGCGCGGGAGGAACGCGGAAAGTGTAGTAAAACTCCCGTAGGTCGTCGCAAGAAACTGCCAGCCACTCCCCAGGCGCCAGACCCAAACGGCACAGCAGGAAACCCTGGCCAAGGCGCTGGGTGCTGGACGAGATTGAGGCACAGCGGCTGTTCACGACCGTTGGGTTCAGGATCAGCCTGTCGAAGTCGCTGTCCTTCGGTACCCTGAAAGCTCCGCAGGCTTCATCCCAGGCGAGGTCCGAAGCAGGAGTCAGGTACAGGGCGCCGCAGGCATCCCACTTCTGGAGCAGGGCCCACAGCTCGGCGCGGTCCATATGGACACGCGCCCCCTTTTGGCCAGCAGGCCACTCTGACGCCGGGAGCCGCATCTCCTCTGGATTGATGAACGCTTCGCGGACTCGAGCGTCAGAGAGAAATGGAATGGGATCAAACACTGGCGAGTAATCCCACTTAATGCGAGACGCCCTGACTTTTAAATCGAAGGGCTCGACCTGGGTGGAGTCCCAAGCCGCCGCAGACGCCAGCGAACCAGGCACGGAAGGAGCGCTGGTCGGGCAGTGCCGCATGGGGGCGGGCACGGAAGAAGAGGAGGTGAAGGAGGCCTCCAAAGCTGCAACATGGGTGGCCAGGCCATGGAGCGAGACCTCAGTAGAGTCGAACTTGGCGAAGGCTCGACCTAAGTCGCTCTTGCCACCACGGGCAAGGCGAACTGCGATCCGACACAACCGTTCGATACGGGTGCGGACGCCCTCCTGGCAGGGCGAGACCGTGGCGCGGACACGAGCCTCGGCGGGAGCGAGGCTAGGATGACCCAAAGTGAGCCAGTTCAACGCAATAACAGAATACTGCGCGAGCGTCCGCGCCGCGCGCCGCAATCTCCAGCGCTCCCTGCGCCTCGCCGACAAGCCGTCAGGCGGGGGGCCAAGAGGTGGAGCAGGCGGGCACGGCCAAGGATCGCGGGGAGGCGGCCCCAAAAGGTACGGGTCGTCCCTGTCCATTGCACGCATTGATGAGCGGGAGAAAGATCCAAGAGAACATCGAGCACCCATCCCAACCTGGGACAGCGCTGCCGCCCAGTGGGTGATATCAATGTTCGCGCCTGGAAACAGGCGCAGCAAGGCAGACAAGTCAGCGACAAATGGCGCGACGTTGGCAAGAGCAGCAGGGGTGCTTGAAGGAGAACAAGCACCAGCAAGAACACCAACCTCAGGGGCTGCAGGCCCCATGGGGGGAGCGCTCGACTGAGGCAGGTGACGGCCAAAATGGCCGAATGGATCCGAGGGGCGGTTCGGAGCAGAGCGAGGGGCGTGGTGGCGGAACGTACTCCTCCCTGCGGGGCCGCAACAGCATCGCTGGAGGAGCGCATTCCTACCCTCACGCCCTCGCTGCGCCCAAACACGCCTAGCAGCCGTAGCAGCGTCGGCGCAGACTGTCTGCGGCGGCGTACCCCGGCCACGCGAAGGCCCCCCCTCCAAGAAGGCGGGCGCCAAGGGCATCTTCAGTCCTTCTTGGGCACCGCCTTCGGGGCCTTGGGAGCACCCTGAGACTTGAAGGGGGGCTTTGAGACCTTGGGCTGCTTGGGCTGATGAGGTGGATGCTTGGGGAGCGCGACGGCGCGCTCGGCGTCGAGGCGCGCCCGAAATGCTTGCAGCTCCTTCATGTATTCGCCCTGCGCCGACAGCCAGCGAGGATCCACTAGGGGTGAAAACGGGGTCTGGGCCTCGCGCTCCGTGTGACGACTGGTCACGCGACACGGGGGAGGCTCCAGCCCCGTGAGGAACCAAGCGGCCTCGAGGTAGCCGCGGTCCCCCGCCAACTGGTCGATGAACATGCACTGGCAAGTCAGCAAGGTCTGGACCCTCTCGGGGTTGCCCTCCTCGCAGGCCCGCCACAGCTCGGCGCTGAGGAAGGCAAAATGCGTCAACAACTCGTGCGTCGACGGCTGAGCCCCGAGGGGGCTGTGCTCGCGAAAGTACTGATGCATGGCCATGGGGGTCACGGCGCTGACTTCCACGCCCAGAACGCGGGCCAAATTCTCCTTCATCAGTCCTCGCACGTCGGGGCCGTGCTGCATCAGCGCTTGCTGCCACTCGCGCCTCCGAGCGATTCCCCCCATCTGAGCCGATGCGTGCGCGGGGTCGCCCGAGGTCGCGGGCGGAGTTTGAGCTTGGTCGCTCAGGGTCCCCAGAAGCGGGTGGAAGGCTGGGCGATGGCCCCGCCCCTGCTGCAAGGAAAGGGACTGGTGCAGGCACTGAAGCATGAGGCTGAAGTCCGTCGGATTGGCCGCAAGGGGCGGCTCTAACCCGTCGGCGCCGCCCGCCTCGGCAAAGCCGTCGACCGCAGCGGGATGGGCTAGCCCAGGCGGCGGCGGGGGGCCCATCGGTCCGGAAGCGGACGAAGGGGCCCGAGGGACAGCAAGAGAGCGCGCCTTCTCCCACGCCGAGACCAGCGCGGAGGTGGGTCCCTTGGGGCGCGCGGAGACCCGATGTGGGGCCACGGGCGCGTGGGACAAGACGGCCTCGATCCCCGCAGGATCCAGCCCGAGGCGCGCCGCCTCGTCGCTGAAAAGCTGAGGCACCTCGGGCCGAGCGCTCCGGGCAGCCGGAGCGGGGCCCAGCGGTTCGGGTCCGCCGACCATCGTGGAGGCCGCGTGGGCTGCAAGCAAGGCGCGCATTTCGGCAGCTACCTCGGCGCGGGTCATGGGAGCCCCGTCGTCCAGAGACGCCGCAGGAGCACCAGGAGCAATCGGAGCAGGACCCGCGACCCGTGGCGGCGCGGCGGCGCCAGCGCGCTTGGCGGGCGGGCCGCGCGGCGCTCCAGCGACCGCGGGGGCTCGCGCACTTGGGGCCGCGCGGTCGGCTTCCCCGTCGGCCGCGAACCCCTCGGGCTCCTCCATCTCGTCGGCAGAGTGGTAGGGGGTAGCCCGATCGGCCCCTGGGAGAGGCTCTTCCCCTGCGGTAGGCGGGGCGCCGTGCAAACGAGCGTAGCCCTCGCGAAGCACCCGAACCCCCGAAGGATGCGGCCAATAGACGCGGCTGCGCACCTCGGCGAAGGGAACGATGCCTGCGTCGTCGCCGACCTCTAGAGGGTACAGCGACTCGAGCTCGAGCTCGGCAACCTCGATATCTATAACGAGGACGGATGCGGTAGTGGCGAGCGGCCGTGAAGCGGCCCCCTGGAGCTGGACGTCCACTAGCTGGAAGGGGCCTATCATCCCAGCAAAGCCATCCGCCTCGGCAGCCTCGAGCTCCGCTGTAGAGCGAAAGGCACCAGGCAGGGCCAGCAGGATGCCCCCTTCTCGAGAGGCGAGGGGGATAGCCGCCCAGCTGGTGTCGCCGTCGTCTAGGCGCCATCGTGCGTAGTCGCGCGCCGTGGGCGCAGCGAAAGGGTAGAGCTCGGGCCAAAGGGGCCCTCCGCCAACTGGTGGCAGCTCCGCCATCAGTGGGCGCCGCCGTGGACGCCGCCGCCCGCACGCTGGGCGTCTGCCCGCTCGAGCGCTTGAGGTCGAGGCGGAGCCCCGTAGGCCAGCGCTCGCGCCGCACGGCGGTCCTGCTCAGGTGAAGCAGAAACCGCGCCGCGCGGCCAGGCGGAGGGCCAGAGCCTCCGCCACACGTACGGGCCCAGCAGCCCGAGGCAGCAGCCCGCGCAGGCGCTGCAGGCGGCCGTCACCCAGAGGAGGGCGGCGACCGTGCTGAGCAGCCAGGGAGAGACCCCGCCGCTCAGGTCCACCGCCAGCCCGAGGCAGACGGTGGGGCAGGTGGAACCCGCCGAAGGGAGAGGGCAGGAGGCCCCCTCACCCTCGGACGAGTCCGCCTGCTGGATGGACCAGGCAGGCGATGGAGGCCCCTGGTCCTGAAGCACAGAGAGGGGGGCAGCCACGAGCCGCTCGTAGAGCGCGGCCCGCAGCCCCCTGAACAAAATCTCCCCAGCGCCCTGGAGAGCCGCTTGTGCGACCGCCTGCATAAGGCGCCCGCACGCGCGGCCGACGGGGGGCACTTGGGCAGAGAAGCTGCGGAGACAGCAGGAGCTTGCTCACAGAGAATAGAAGAGGCAGGAGGAGGAGGAGGAGGAGGAGGAGGAGGAGGAGGAGGAGGAGGAGGAGGAGGAGGAGGAGGAGGAGGAGGAGGAGGAGAGGAGGAGGGAGGGAGGGGAGGGGAGGGAGGGAGGGAGGAGGGAGGGAGGGAGGGAGGGAGGGAGGGAGGGAGGGGAGGGAGGGAGGGGGAGGAGGGAGGGAGGGAGGGAGGAGGAGGAGGAGGAGGAGGAGGAGGAAGAGATGGGGGACGAGGAAAAGGAGCATCTTCGTATCCTTTGTTCGATCGTCCCCTCTTTCTCCCTCCACCTCAGGCGTTGTCTGCCTCCCCCCAGCACTTCCAGGTAGGAGGGACTCGAGGGCATCGGCGCACCCGCGCGAGCCTGTCCGCTGCTCCAAAGGCTTCGAGTAGGAGGAGCATGGGCACCGTGCGTCCCCTGCGCCCCCCCACAGGCCACTCACGTCACGGCAGATCACACAGCGAGAAGGGGGGCCAAACAGAGAAGAGTGCCATGATGATCGTCCACTCTGCCAGGATGATGGGCAGGATGAGAAGCGTCTTCGCGGTGCGGAGCAGGTCCGCGCACCTGAAGAACAACGGATGGGCACTCCGCCAGGAGAGCGGGAGAGGTGGTATCGGAGGAAGCACACTGGGAGGCAGACAGGCAAGAGGCGGGAGGTGCGCGAGATGAGTGAAGGGAGAATGAGCAGAGGCAGGGAGAAAGACATCCAGAGATATGTGGGGGCCATCGGAGGCCTCTCTTCCGAAAGTCTGGCGCGGGCCTCGCGATGCCCATCGTTCGGCAGGAGTGGGTAGAAACATAAAGTAGGAAGGCGCTGAAAATCCGCCGGCCCCCTTGTGGGGCCACCAGGCTGTAGGCGCGTGATTCGCAGTTTCCTGTACCAGTCGTAGGTTGTAGTTTCCAGTGTTACAGTTCTGCTTCTTGCTGGTTACTGTAACTAGTTGACTTCTTGCTGGTTACTGTAACTAGTTGATTGACCGCGCGAGGGGGGGGAGGCCCAAACAGGATTTTTAGCCTCACCTGGGCGCGTTGTCTGAATTGCTGGGGGGGCTCGAAATCGACACCCCTCACGCAGATCCGCGGGGTCAGGGGGATCCACAAAAAATTCGGTGCCACACGCGGATCCGCGGGGTCAGGGTCCAAAAACACATGGGATTTGCCACATTTTGAAATTCGGTGCCACCCCTCACGCAGATCCGCGGGGTCAGGGTCCAAAAACACATGGGATTTGCTACATTTTGCCCTCACGCAGATCCGCGGGGTCAGGGTCCAAAAACACAAGGGATTTGCCACATTTCTGAAATTCGGTGCCACCCCTCACGCAGATCCGCGGGGTCAGGGTCCAAAAACACAAGGGATTTGCCACATTTCTGAAATTCGGTGCCACCCCTCACGCAGATCCGCGGGGTCAGGGTCCAAAAACACAGGGGATTTGCCACATTTCTGAAATTCGGTGCCACCCCTCACGCAGATCCGCGGGTCAGGGTCCAAAAACACAGGGGATTTGCCACATTTCTGAAATTCGGTGCCACCCCTCACGCAGATCCGCGGGGTCAGGGTCCAAAAACACATGGGATTTGCCACATTTCTGAAATTCGGTGCCACCCCTCACGCAGATCCGCGGGGTCAGGGTCCAAAAACACATGGGATTTGCCACATTTCTGAAATTCGGTGCCACCCCTCACGCAGATCCGCGGGGTCAGGGTCCAAAAACACAGGGGATTTGCCACATTTCTGAAATTCGGTGCCACCCCTCACGCAGATCCGCGGGGTCAGGGTCCAAAAACACATGGGATTTGCCACATTTCTGAAATTCGGTGCCACCCCTCACGCAGATCCGCGGGGTCAGGGTCCAAAAACACAAGGGATTTGCCACATTTCTGAAATTCGGTGCCACCCCTCACGCAGATCCGCGGGGTCAGGGTCCAAAAACACATGGGATTTGCCACATTTCTGAAATTCGGTGCCACCCCTCACGCAGATCCGCGGGGTCAGGGTCCAAAAACACAAGGGATTTGCCACATTTCTGAAATTCGGTGCCACCCCTCACGCAGATCCGCGGGGTCAGGGTCCAAAAACACAGGGGATTTGCCACATTTCTGAAATTCGGTGCCACCCCTCACGCAGATCCGCGGGGTCAGGGTCCAAAAACACACGGGATTTGCCACATTTCTGAAATTCGGTGCCACCCCTCACGCACATCCATCGCAAGGCGTGGTAACCCAAACTGCGAGTACTCCCTCGGCCCTTTAATGCCAAGCTGTGGTAACCAAGCTCGTAAACCATACACGTCTTACCAATCGCCCTGTGTGGTAACCCCTCTTGTGATCAATTGGTTTTGCCGATTGCGAATCGGCCTCGCATGAAGTTCCGATACTGCTGCACGACAGCGCCAAAGCCTCATGACTTAGCTCTTCAATGGCCCATTCTCCGAGAGAGGGGGCCGGCGGCAGGGGGCGAAGCCCTTACGGATAGATTCGGCTTCCGCCCGCCCCCTATGAAAAGGAAGGAGGAGAGGAAACCATTTGATTATTGGACTACTAGGCGGACGCTTGAAGTGGATGGGAACCTGGGAATCCCAAACTGCCTACTCTTAACGATCGGTGGGCACTGTGGGCCGTTGCGCGGTTCATCGGCTCGGCGGACGCAAGGCTGGCGCATTGGCGGAGCACCACTCTCCCACGCCTCCCTGTCCAGTCAGGACCAAGCATCGACATTCTGGCGCGTGTCAGCTCACAGGCGGGCCCCCAGCGTTCGCGTGCTTGCTCTTACCTCCTTACCTGTCTGCTCCACCTATCCTTGCGGCGCAAGTAAAATATGCGAGCTGGAAAAGGAGACCAGTCATACAAAGCTTCGGTGCGAAAAATAATATCAAATTTTCGCGGTAATAACTTGCACGCCACGTCGCAGAGGTCAAGCCTGGCCATTGAGTTCGAAAGTTTGTGTTGTCACAAACGCTGAGAGATGTCGTTTCGCTCCGCTCAAATGGAGTCATCAATATGTATTTGGCTTGTTCCATGTTGCACTTCACTTCTCAAACAAACGCGGGCGCAGAGGCACTCTAAGCGACGCACCTGAGCTTGCAAGAAGCGGAGAAGGTATACCGGGAACTTTCTGGAAGTTCCAAGAATCGTGCGGGGACCCTCTGGGAAGCCGTCAGGAAGCTTCTGGGAAACGTCTGGGAATCTTCCAGGAATCCTTCCGAGAACTCACTTCGGGGTCGGACCGCACATGTGCAACACTCTACACTGGAAAATGCAGTCAAAAGTGCAAGTCACACACGATCATCTCTCCAAGCGCAAGTGCGTCACCTGGTGGTGCTTGGTTGGGGACACTTGGTCTCACCATTGTTCAGTCAGTACGATCTCGTAAAGCCGCACCACCTTCTGAGTTTTGACCGCAAGCGCATCTGTGCAACACGCTTTAGAAGCGAAGTGCCAAGGTCACCACGTCTTGTCTCCACCCTGGAAACTAAACTGAGAAGCGCAAGTTATCCACAAAGAGTGCTGCGAATCCACGTGCGTCACCCGGTGGTGCTTGCGCGCCTGGCCACACTTGGTTGCAAAAAAATGCCATTCGGTGGTATCTCGGAAAACCGCATGCATGTCTGACTTGGTCCGCAAGCGCGTCTGCGCAACACTCTGGAGAAGCGAAGTGCCACGATTCCTGTCTTGTACTCTACGCAGGAAACCGAACTCATCAGTCCAAGTTACACACTTCGCCGTCACTCCCAAGTGCGTCACCTGGTGGTGGTTGCGCGCATGGTGACACGTGGTTGGACCATTACCTAGCATTACCTCATACTGCCGTATGCTGTTTTGGGTTGGACCGCAAGTGCATATGTGGAACACTTGTAAAAACGGAGTGCTAGGATCTCGGTGCTGGATATTTTGCACTGAGGAAGAAAACTCACACACGTACACACACACACACACAATGACACCTCCAGGCCGAAGTGTTTCACCTGGTGGTACGTGCGCTCCTGTGGTACGTGCGCTCCTGGTGATACTTGGGGCAATTTCCCAGACAGCACTACCTTGTACAGCAGGAAAGCTCCCTGGATGAACTATGGAAAAGCGAAGTGCCAAGAGTCGTGCACAACATTGCCATTGAAGTTTGTCTCCTTTCTGTATGATGGAGCCTCATAAGTACAACACACAATTACCCTTCCAAGGTCAACTGCATGACCTGGTGCTGCTTGCGCTTAGCAATACTTCTAAGCAAAACCCTTCACTAAGTAGTACCTCGTAAAGCCGATCAGCTTCACGCAAGGTCTTCAGGATGCCATCAAAACTGATTATGCCCAGGAGCTCTTACCCGAGGAATCCTGAGGCACCCACTTCCAGAACCAGGAACACTCGACAGAGAAGAGAAACCTGCGAATGTCCGACAGAACTGCTGCAGTCAGGACAACTCTTCCAAGGCTAGTCGCGCACACGATATTTCAAAACTGGGTTCCAACCTTGGCAATTTGAAAATTTGACAGGGTGCACGTTTTCCTACAATCTCCTGCCCTACCTCCCCCACGTGCACACCATCCTCCTCTTCCTCTCCTGAGGCCCCAGAGGCCGCTTGGAGTACATACATACATACATGCATACATACATACACATACGTACAATCATATATATATAAATATATACACGCCTATATAAAATTTCCCCACAAAACACTACAACCTACCAGCATAGTGTATGCCAAGGAAAAATACAACATTGATGTATTGCGTAGGTATGATTATTCAAAAAATGGCGACCTGCCACACTGTCTCAAATAGGATGGAAAGATACATGCATGTGGTATGAATGACCTGCACCGATGTCAACAAAAACTGCAGCTATTTACTGCATGTACACTACATACACATGCCGTGCTACGCCGGTACACCCTGTAACTATACAATTCAACTACATGTTATGAATCACTGTCTAAATCAGAAAAAAGACGTGCTATGTAAACTATTGCACACCTATGACACTCTGTAGCGTTACAATATGTATGTATTTCAAAAACGTGGCCCATCGACGCTTTAGAAACTGTTGTCGCGCCTGCAGTTGTTGAGCCCTCTGATATGTTGGAACTTCTGAAACTGCGGAAGCTTTTGAGAGGTTCACAAAATGGTACTTTTAAACTAAGAAGCTGTTGAAGCGTTTGCAACGGCTGCCCTGTTTTGAAATGAGCTGGAACCCGTGGAAGTTCGGATGATTGTACAAATTCTAGTCGCCTGAAACGTTTGAAACAGAGTTTGCAAGGTGTCACAAGGTTCATAAAAGTTGCAAGAACAAGAGAATAACCAGTTCCATACCTCCCAAAATACCCAAAAAAATACAAGAGCATCACAAGCTGCAAACTCTTCCAAACTCTCAGAAGGACAAAAATCAAAAGTTGCCACAAGTTTCAGAGTTTCGAAGAGCTTCAACAAAAACTAGGACACCAGAACTCTTGAAAGTTCGCCATTTGAAATTACTCCAACAAAAAATTGAATTTCCAAAAGCATCAAACAATCAAAAAACACATCACAAATATTGACAGGTCAACGATTATCCGATTCCACATATACAAAATATCACAAGTTCCACACTTCTCAACAGCACCAACTGTTTCCAAGGTTTCACTAGTTTCACAAGTTTCAGATGTTCAAGAGATTCCAAGGTTGCACAAGCTTCAAAAGTCTCGGACGTCTCAACAACATCCAAGGTCTCAAAAGTTTCAAAAGTTCCACAAGTTTCAAGTTGCAGGGTTTCGACCCGCACGACGCTGAACCGATCAAATCAGCTATGGTGGCCAAACTGCGATCCGCAAAATCGTCGGCTAAAGACAATTGCCTTCAACAGCAGCCCGAGAGGATACTCCCCTGGATGTCTTCGAGAACAGCGGGGGAAAATGTTTCGGGTCGTCCTCATGGGCAGTAGCCCAAGTCTCGGGTCGGGCGAAAGGGGGGGATAGCAAAGGGGGGGTTTGAGAATCAGCTCACGTAGCTGATTTTCCCAGCGCCTCCCGGCGCCGGGAGGCGCCCATGTATCGAGGAGTGGGCCCCTCGGTCGGGCCGAAACCAGCTGCATGCAGCAGATTTCGTACCCCCCCCTTTCCCAACCCCCCCCTTTCGTCCGGCCCGAAAGTCGCATGGCTCATAGGGCCAATCGGTTTGCACATGGCCCGGCAGCCGCTCCTCGCAACGTCTGGCCCCCGGGCGGCCCGACCGTGACAATTGAGGTTGTGACTCCGCGCTTTGCTTGCCTGTTTACACTTCTTGTCTGCCCCCTGCCCGAGTCCAGGGCTATTGCTTGACCTTGGTGGCCCGCAATTCTTCTGCGCGCTGCGTCGCAACGCAAGGACGACGTGGAGTGCGAGCCCACGAAGGAGAGAGTGTGTGCTGCCCAAGACAAGAGTTCAGGCTACCAGCGAGCCTCACGACGACGCACAGCACAAGTCTAAGTGCCGGGGGGGGGGGGGAAGTTCCCGAGAAACCCAGCGAGCGCCACGAGACGTAGAGGACCAATCCGAATGAGAGAGGGGGGTCTCCGAGATCCCAAGTGCGGAGTTCGGTCCCCGACTGGGGCCCGGCGGCGCCAGGAAGGGGAGCCAGCACTCCAACCCGGAAGGGTTCAGTATGACCCCGGCACTTCGGGGGAACAGAGAGCGGACTTCAGCGCGCCCAGCCGTGGAGCCCCGCTCTGGGTGATTTGGCAACGGCCATGGCTAGCAACCCACCTAGTCGCAGTTGGCCCCTCTGTGCTCCCCAGCTCCTCGGGCGCGCACAGGAACCGCAGCCCCTGCGATGAAGAGAAAGGGAAGCGTATGAGAGCAAACGGTCAAAACCAGGGCCCGCAGCAAGAGGCACATCTAACACGCTGAAAGCCACAGCAAAGGGCCAGCCTGAGCCACAACCTCAAGATTGCGAGCCATAACCTCATGATTGTCGTTTCATGGGGCACCGCGGTGCAACAACACCACTCCCGGGATACGATCCTGAGCCCACCAAGTGCAGGCGCCAGCGAGTTGAGGTATGCATTCCGAGGGGGGCCACTCCGATGCAACGATTGAAGACCTCTCCCTCCCCCTCCACCTCCAACCCACCTCTCCTGCCCATCCCCCCACCCTTCCCGAGCGAGGACGAGAGGCGAGAGCAGAAGGGAGGGAGGACCTGAGGTTAGGTGTTCTTTCGCCCTCGGTGATCCCTCTCTGACGTTGCCTTCGGCTATACGTAAGAGTGACCCTGGGTAAGAGTGACCTTTGGTGCGCGGCTTTTGGGGGGCCGCGGGGGAACAAAACCTGGGCGCGCAAGCAGCTGCCGCTGCTTCGTTCTCGGCCATCCGGTGCAGCTGCCGCTGCTTCGTTCTCCGGCGAAGGGCCACTCTTACGTCTAATCGATGCCTGGGGTCGTCCTCCCCTGGCGGGCCGGCGGGCCCGGCGCACCGCAGGGGCCGCCCGCCCGTGCGCGGCGGCGGCGCGCCCCTCCAGAGCCCGGGCACGGGAAGCGTGTCCCGGCAGGCCTGGCGGCCCGCTCGCTGGGCACGGTGCGGTGTCGAAGACGACGACGACGACGACGACGACGACGACGACGACGACGACGACGACGACGACGGCGACGACAACGACAACGACGACGCCGCCGCCGCCGACGCCGACGCCGACGCCGACGCCGACGCCGACGCCGACGCCGACGCCGACCCCGACGCCGACGACGACGACGACGACGACGACGACGACGACGACACGATGACGACGACGACGCGGCCGCCGCCGCCGTCGCCGACGACGACACCGACGACGACGACGACGACAATGACGACGCTTCGGTCCTCGGGAGTGGGATAACGGGGGTCTAGGATAACGTGAGGGAGAAGCAAGAGGAGGAGGAGGAGGAGGAGGAGGAGGAGGAGGAGGAGGAGGAGGAGGAGGATGCGATGCGATGTGATGCGACCACCGTTGCGGACAGCGTCTGGGCCTGGAGCAGACCAGGTGGGTGAGGCCATGGCCTCTAGGATCTGAGGTGTCTGGATTCATGCAATGCGAGACATGTAAAAAGTTACGAGGAAACGGGGAGGAGGAGGAAAAGAAAGTCCTTGGTGTCGGTGTCGGTGTCGGCCGGGGTTGGGCGAGACGTCTCGACGTTCGCTGAGATTTTACGTCCTTGGTCTGAGTCCCAGGTGCTGGTCGACGTGAGGTCGGTGAAGTGGTGCTCGAGCGCTGTCCATGCTTCGGTGTCTTGGGCTGTTTGCGTCCATGTGATGTCGTTTGGTTGTCCTTTCGAATGGGCTTGCGTGGGCGGGCGGTCGGTGGAGGTCTGGTCTGCGCAGACGTAAGTAAGTGGTGATTTCGTCGTCCCAACGCTTGTTTGCCTGTGTCCCCGCTGGCGCGGGTTGAGGACTGGGTGCCGGCGCAGCACTCGCCATGTCCGCCTCGTCCGGTCGTGGTTTGCGATTCGCGAAGCCATGCGCCATACTTTCCGTTTGTGCAGCGTCTCCCAGTTGTCCATGTGGTGGAGCTTCATGAGGTGCTCTGCGCGTCGTGTCGCTCGCTGGATGTAGTCGACCCATAGTTCCATTTCGTCTGCGGTGGTGCTGTCTTCGCCGTTTTCGCTGTGCTTGTCAGGCGTGTCAGGTGCATCACACTATGATGGGTTGCTGTCTGCATCGTCGCTAATGCTGTTGGTGCGGTCTTCGTGGTCTTGTGCTTCGTTGTTCGCGCCGTCGAGATTAGGTCCCTGGCCGCTGTGAGGGCCGGCTTCTTTCGTTGTGCGTCTCCGTGGCGTTCTGATGATCATGCGAAGCATGCGTCGTTGTGTCCGTCGTATATGCTGCCGTAGAGTCGCCGTAGAGGCTCGGTGAGGGTCCACGTCTCTGCTCCGTATAACGCTGTTGGTGCTACAATGCTGTTGAAAAGTCGGAGTCGGTGAGCCAGTGGGTAGTGTTTGCTGGTCAGCTCCTGCTTGCGAGACGTGAATCATGCCCATGCAGCTCGCGTGCGGTGGTGAATTTCCGCTTCCATCGGTTCGTGGAAGCTGATGAATTGGCCGAGGTATTTGAGACTGCCCTCGTATGGAACGATTTCTATATCCATGTCTTGGAAACGTGCTGTGCGTGAGATCGCCCGTCCGGTCCTTCTCGTCTGGTTGCTCAGTATTTTGGTTTTGCTTGGGTGTAGTTCCAGCCCGTGTAGCCTCGTCGCGCGCACAATGTCGTCAAGCTTCGCTGTCAGGCGCGGGAGAGTTTGGCTGGTCAGAGGAGGAGAAGGAGGCGGAGGAGGGGAGATGAAGGGGGTGATTATGGGAGGGGGGGGAGGAGCAGCAGCAACAGCAGCATCAACTGAAATAGCAGGGGGGGCAAGCGGAAGAAGGACAATTTGGATGCACTCTGCACGCGGTGGAATAACCCGTGGGGCCCGCCGGCAGCACTACCCGAGGTTATCGACGACCACTCCGAAGCCCTCCCACGACATATAGATTGCCAATGTTCGGCGGCGAGCGAGGGGGGGAACATGCGGAGGAGAAGGGCTTCTCGGAGGGCGGCGGGGACTTCTCAGGAGCCCCCTCGCGCCCTCTGAGAGGCCCTCTGCGTCTGCGGGGGAGCCTCGGGAACTTCTCAGAAGGCCGGGGGACTTCCGAGCCCACTGGGCAGGCCTTCTCCCTCTCGCCTCCCCCCTTGCTGTCGCTCGGACGTCCATTTCCCGTGCATTTTTCGGTTTCGTGCGTTTTTGTTTCTCCTCGATGGTCCAGGATGGTCCCCGTGGTTTCTCGCCGAAAAAAATGCACACGTCCAAGCGATGCCAAGTCCCCCCCTCGCTCGCCGCCAAGATCTTTGGTGACCGCCCCCACGCGCAGTGGAGTCGCGGCAGGCCCGGCGGCGGGGAGGGGGCCGCCGTCGAGGCGCGGCTCAAGCGGGTCTGCGGACGTCTGCCTCGGAACTGGAACTCCGACTCGTAACTTCCCCCTGCAATAATGCAGTTCGGCCTCGCCGCCCCTCTCCCCCGACCAACTCTGTCTTGGCCGGAGATGATCAAGACCAGGGTAGGAAGGGGGGGTATGACTTATTCTCCAGGGCATGCGATTACAGTCAAAACGTTTATTAAGGACGGGTCGTAAGGACGCAAGACCCTTGGAGGCCGATGTTGGATTTTTGGGGCGGGGGGCGGCCAGTGAAAACGGCGACGGACGGGCCGCAGAGGCAAGGACTCAAGGGTACCCTAGATGAAGGCACGCGTCCTTACTAGGCGCGTTGACTGTATGTATGGTTTTTGTTCGTGCTTGATGGGCCTCCCAAGGGCTCCCCGCCGCCACGGCGGGATCCGCCTCGGGACTCTGGCAAGAACGCTCCCCGGGACAGGACCGGGGACATATGTGGCTCAGACCCTGGCACGCTCGGGTCGTGAACAGAACACGGCGGTTTCTGTTCGGTCGCCGCCGATAGAAAATGAAAAACAGAAGAAGCATCAGCTTTTGGAGGATCGCCCGGAGCGCGGGAATCGCGGCGCCAAGAGTAGGAAGATTGCATCGTCGGAGATCTGGGTCCGAACGCCCGTCAGAACCTCGAATGACAAAAATATGACCAGCGGCGCCTCCTGCGCCGCCCCTGGCGCCACCGAAAGTTTGTGCCGCTCTGTTCCTTCGAGGTTCGGACCGGCATTCGGACCCAGACTTCAGACGGTATTGTTTACAAAGACATGGCGCCACGATCAATTCGCAGCTGGCGATGTTGCCTTGCTCTGGGCCCCTGGACCATCACGGATCGATCCGGTTCAAAAAATGCCGGGGAAACATGGGGTCCAGGGCTCCAGACGGGTTTTGTGTTACGATGTTGCGCTTGATTCGAGACGTTGCATCTGAGGGGGGGTCACCGTCGAGGCTCGCGTCGTACGGATTGTCAGACGTCCTCGTCGGCTAACTATAACTAGGCGTGGCAATGCGGCAGCACAGGGATGAGTGTAAAAAATACGGCGGCGACGAAGGGAAGAGCGTGCGCTCCTCACGCACGCACACACACACACACACACTTGCTCCAGCGGCGAGGTGACGACACCGTCGCGAAGCGCTAAACTGACACGCGTTGGCGCGTTTCCACATGACATCGCAAACCAGTGGACTGAATGGTAGCACTCACTTGCAAATAAACGTGAGGGAACGCGCGTGCACGAGGAAGGCGCGGTTGCGGCCACGCAGGTGCTGGAAGCAGACACGCACACACACACACACACACACACACACACACACACACACAAGCGCATACGCACACGCACACGCACACGCACACGCACATGCACGCAGACACACACACACACACACACACACACACACACACACACGCACGCACGCACGCACGCACGCACGCACGCACGCACGCACGCACGCACGCACGCACGCACGCACGCACGCACGCACGCACGCACGCACACGCACACTCACACTCACACTCACATTCACACACACACACACAAACACTCCCTCCTCCGCGATGTTGCAGCAACGAACGGTCAAACGACGGGCCGCGTTGTCGCGAATTGCAATCGCGCGTGTGGCGACCGCGATCGAACCACAGCCGCGCACTTCCAGGCTAGGGGCGGGCTGAGGCGAGAAATTCGCAGAAGCGCTACTATCGCGTGTTCGCAACAAGAAGCATGCACCAGCCCTGCCAAAGCGAGAGCGGGCCAAACTATCGACTTGCGCATGCCCGAAGCAATCCAAGCAAACGACACTAAAGACTCGAGATTGTTGGCCCCAGCCGACTGGACATCATCCCAACCGTGTCTGCGTATATGTATAGGTCGGTCACGGCATCGGTTCGCCAGGTTTGCAGGAAGTGCGGACTGAGAGGCAGAAGAGGACGCCGGCCACTCCGCGCCGAGGAGAGATCGGGTGTTGCTAGAAGTGGTCCTGGACCGAGGTGCCCCCAGCTTTTCGGGCCACGCTGGGGCCCCGGAAGCCTCCTGAGCCTTGCGAGAGGTGTGCTCGGGAGGCCATCTGGGCCTCCCCGGGAATCCTGCGGACTTGGGCAAGGGGCACCTCTGGCAGCAAGTCAGACTGTCGGCCCCCGCGAACCCGCAGAAGAGGCGTATGAATAGAAAACATGGATTACTCACTGCGTGGAGCTTCCCATATATGTGCATACATTCGCATGGAACTGTCCGCCGTGAGTGTCTAGGCGCAAGAGTTTTCGAATGTATGCGGGCTTGAGTTGTGACGGTCTGGTCATGAATCTAACTGCGAATGAATTGGAGTGTGAATGAGCCTCAGTAGTACGAGCGCGTCTCTCCGCTTGAGCCTGGGGCCTCCTGGGGCCTCCTGAAACCTACTGGGGCTTCCTGGGGCCTCCAGGAGCCTCTTGGGGCCTCCTGGGACCTCCTAGGGAGGATTCGTGCCCCAGGAGAGTTGGAGTGTGAATGAGCCTCAGTAGTACGAGCGCGTCTCTCCGCTTGAGCCTGGGGCCTCCTGGGGCCTCCTGAAACCTACTGGGGCTTCCTGGGGCCTCCAGGAGCCTCTTGGGGCCTCCTGGGACCTCCTAGGGAGGATTCGTGCCCCAGGAGAGGCCCAATCTATAGGAACAGACGTACATAAAACATTGCGGATTGGAGCCACAGGAGAGGGGCAATGTATAGGAACACACGTAAAATACCAAGGACTCGTTTGTGCCCCAGGAAAGGTCCAATATATATATATATATATATATAGGAACAGAACAGAACATGTTGGATTGTGTCCACAGGAGAAGGACAATCGATAGAAACATACGTCAGAGTGAGGGGGCCCGAACGGTCATTCACTGTCCTTGGGTGCATAGCTGCAGTGGAGATCCACGGCGAGGTTCTTGTTGTTGTTTTGTTGTTTTGTTGCGTCGTCCCCCCCCTCCCGCTCCGCGACCCGCCCGCGACCCACGCGACCCACCCCGCGACCCACCCACGACCCACCCCGCGACCCACCCGCGCGACCCACCCGCGACCCACCCACGACCCACCCCGCGACCCACCCGCGACCCACCCGCGACCCACCCGCCACCCACCCCGCGACCCACCCGCGACCCACCCGCGACCCACCCCGCGCCCGCCCCCTCCCTCTTATCCGCAATAGCGGGGTGCTACGTATAACATAAAGGATTCGTGCTCCAGGTGAGGTAGAGCCACTCCTGTTGCCTTCCGAGGCCTCCTGCTCCTGGCGCCTCTCGGGGCCTCCTGTTGCCTTCCGAGGCCTCCTGGCGCTTCCTGTGGCCTCCTGGGGCCTCCTGTGGCTTACTGAGGCCTCCTGGAGCTTCCTGGGGCCTCCTGGAGTCTCTTGGGACATCATGTGGCCTCTTGAGTCTTTCTGTGGCCTCCTGATGCCTCCTGGGACCTCATGTGGCCTCCTGGGTCTCCTGGAGCCTGTTGGAACCTCCTGTGACATCCTGAGAAGAATATATGCCCACGAGTCTGGCCACCAAAACAGGCGAACCGATCGAGACATCCTCAAAATCTGGCCCACCTGTGGGGTGAAAATGAGCGCCTCGCTCGAGACATCCTCCACATCTGCTCCGAAAGCGGAGGATGCTGAGCATGCAAACAGGCAAACCGCTCGAGACATCCCCGCCATTTTGGCGCGAACGGAGACCGTGCAATACCCCTGGCGGCCTCCCCTCAGGAGGCGCCTCGCACGAGACATCCTCAAAATCTGTTCCGAAAACGGAGGATGCTGAGCATGCAAACAGGCAAGCCGCTCGAGACATCCCCGCCATTTTGGCGCGAACGGAGGCCGTGCAGTACCCCTGGGCGACCCCCCTTAGGAGTGCTAAAACCAGCAAATCGTTCGAGACATCCTCATCATCTGCCCATCGTCATCATCATCATCATCATCATCATCATCATCATCATCATCATCATCATCATCATCAGCATCATCATCATCATCATCATCATCATCATCATCATCATCATCATCATCATCATCGTCATCATCATCATCATCATCATCATCATCATCATCATCATCATCATCATCATCATCATCATCATCATCATCATCATTCACCATCACCAGCAAACTCACATCATACTCTCACCACAATCGTCATCATTGTCTAGTGCAGAGAGGAAGAAGGGAGGGGACGAAGGTCCGCGCGGTCACAGTAATAACAAGAACCCCATCCTTTGGATATGGGGAGAAAACGTCTTACGAAGCTGCTTCATGGGATGTTGGCTGGCCGGAGGGCTATGTCGAGTAGGAGCTGCTCTCGGCCACGCTGCTCACTGAGTGAGCCGCGGAGTGTTCCTGGGGGGACGAGCGTACCGACACCGCGCCTCCTCGGACCCCATCACTGGGCGCCTTCGGGCCAGAGCTCCCAGGAGCATCCAGCCGTGGCGACGAGGCCCTCCCCAGAGGTCCAAAGAAGCCGCGACGAGGCAGGGGCAAGTGGCGGCATCGGTGCCCGCTCCCTCCTCGGACAGAGAGGGGACGAACTGGACCGAGTGAGCAGCGAAGAGGTCGCCAAGGGAGGGCGGGGGCTGGGCGCGAATTGGGGGGGGAGAGAGGTGCCCTGTTCGGACCCTATAGGCCCCCTCTGGGGCTTTCCAGGAGCCTCAAAAAGCTCCATTTCTGCAGCCCTCGCTGCCCCCCCCCCCCCCTGCATCGCCCCCCTATTGCGCGTCCTCCGGGGGGGAGCGGGGCGCAGGTGGTCGGAAAGCGAGGCCTTCGCGGCGGACTCCTCCAGCTCCTTCAGCCGGACCCTGGGGGCACAGGGGAGGGCGGCCGACCGGCGGCTGGGGCGGAGAGGAAGCGGGGGCAGGAGCAGGAAGAAGCAGGGGCAGCAGGAGCCGGCTACACGCAAGAGCGATCCTGGATAAGAGTGAGTGACCTTCTGTGCGCGGCTTTTTGGGAGCCGCGGGGGGGGGGGGGGGGGGGGGGGGGGTCAAACCCAAGCGCGCAAGACACCACTGCCTCCTCGCGTTCGGCGATCGGGGGACCCCAATGGGCCCGCACCAAAGGTCACTCGGGCGAACGGTCACTCTCACATGTAGTCGAAGGAGGAGGAGGAGGAGGAGGAGGAGGAGGACAGAATCCGTCAGCACCGAATCGGCAAGTCGGCTCAGATCGGACTGTGCGCCGTCGGTGGCGACTGAACGGCAGACGCAGACGTTGGCTCAATGAAAGCGCTTTCGTGTTGGAGGAAGAAGAGGAGCAGCAGCATCAGCAGCAGGAAGTAAGGGAGGACGAGCGGCAGCCTGAGGAAGAGAGGAAGGGAGGCAGGCAGAAAGCCAACCCGCCTCTTCGAAAAGGCGCGTCGTGGCACTGGTCAAAAGTCGACTATGCCCCATGGATTACGATCAAGCGAACTGCCACCACTATTACTAGGCACTCCACCGCCGATGTTGACCCTCGCAGCCAAGACGAAGGCAGTTGCAGAAGAGTATCGAGACTCGAGAACCACCTTCCCAGTCTGCGCACTCACGCGATATGGAAGGTTGCATACTGACTGCCCCCCAAGCACCAGGAGGGTAAACAAAATGATGTCTCACATTTTTTGGGGCAATGCCAGGTCACCACAGGGGGGTCGCCAAGAATACTCCAGAGCCTTCCAAAAGAACCCCACACGCCAGTAAGCCTCCTCGAGCTGACCCACCCAATGGCAGAAGCTCGCACGAGTTGTCACGAGTGCCTGAGAATCTCCGCCCGATACGTGGCGGGTTCCCGAAACCCTGAACCAAAAAAGCGAACCATCTCGTGGGAGGCCAGTTCTTACTTCCACCGGCTTCCGCCAGCCCTCCGCTGGCTTCCGCCAGCGGATGCGGCCTCGTTATACTTCCGCCGACCTTCTGCCGCCCTTCCGCCACCCTTCCGCCGCCTTCCGCCAAGGAAGAGATGGTAATTCCTTCGATCCTCGAAGGCAAGGCCCTCTTTGGAGCGGCCCATGATATGGCGATCAAATCTATACATGTCCATTGCTCCCTGGCCAGGCCCATCCTGAACCCAGCAGCGGCGTATACGCGACGAAGCCACGCCCTCCTGGCTTGGCCAGGAGGGCGTGCACACAGCTCCTGGGCCCAGTGTGGGCGAAGACTGCACGAAAGCTTACCCAACAGTTGTAGATTGCATTCGCAACGTCCTCTTGCCTCCCTCTTTCCTCTTCCCCTGCCACATCCTCCTCCTCCTCCTCCTCCTCCTCCTCCTCCTCCTCCTCCTCCTCCTCCTCCTCCTCCTCCTCCTCCTCCTCCCTCTCCTCCTCCTCCTCCTCCTCCTCCTCCTCCTCCTCCTCCTCCTCCTCCTCCTCCTCCTCCTCCTCCTCCTCCTCCTCCTCCTCCTCCTCCTCCTCCTCCTCCTCCATCCTCCTCCTCCTCCATCCTCCTCGTCCTCCTCCGCCTCCTCCTCCCTCCTCCTCGTCCTCCCTGTCCAGTCAGAATTCGCCTTTCCAATGGGCTACCGATGCTGCAGCCCATTGTGCCCGCGCGTCCCTCTGGATGTTCGGCAGTTGTGGTGGTGGGCCCAGGAAAGGCACAGCTAGGGTGCAGTGGACTAGTCTAGTCCACAGCCAGGGTGCAGCTGCTTGAAATGACATAAAGGAGGATTACCCCAGTGCGACCCTACCTAGAAGTTGGAGCCCCTAGGAAAGCAGCATTGGTTGCTATGCTATGCTATGCTATGCTATGGTACGTCATGCTATGCTGCGCTATGCTATGCTATGCTGTGATATGCTATGCTGCGCTATGTTATAATATGCTATACTATGCTATGCTAAGCTAAACTATGATATGGCATGTTGCGCTGTGCTATGCTGAGCTATGCTATGCTATGCTATGTTAAGCTATGATATGTCATGATATGCTATGCTGCGCTATGATATGCGATGCTGGGCTATGATACGGTATGATATGCTGCGCTATGCTATGCTACGCTATGCTATGATGTGCTCTGCTATGCTAAAGTTCAGCGAAGCTGAGATGAAGGTAAGCTGAGTTAAGATAAACCTGAGCTAAGATGAAGCTAAGCTAAGCTAAGATGTAATAAGCTAAGCTAAGATGAGATAAGCAGCGCTAAGCTAAGGGGACGTAACTGGGGGAACCGCGGGGCGGATACTGGGGGAACCGCCCGGGCAGGTTCCCACTGCCCGGCCCTTTAAGCCAAGAGAGTAAGAACCCTTCTAGGCAGAGCCTAGGTAGGGAAATCTCATCTAGGAGGGCGCCCCCGGCTCCCCCAGACCCGTGCTCCCCCAGAAATGGCTGGTCTGTCTAGAAGCCAGAGAACTGTGCCCCTGCGCCGACTCTGGCACGGCCCACCCCGAGCCCAGGATCGGTGCACGTGGTGCCTCGCCCTGACCAGAAGGGCACGGGCACCGACCCTGGGCCCAGGATGGGCCTGGCCGAGATCGGTGCACGTACATACAGTCGGGGCGTTGACCTAAGGAACCCTAAATAAGGAAGGAAGCCCCTTTTTTTATCCCAACCAAGGAATCACGCATAAGGAACGATAAATAACAAATAGCGCATAAGGAGCTGTAAATAAAACGCATGCAAGCCTAAGGAACGACCGAGCCCCTTTTGAAAAGCAAGTGTTCCTTACTCAAGCCGCTCACTGTAGCCCCCCTCGCCCGATGGACGTGTGCAGATCTCGTCGCCTGACGTGCGTGGGGTTCTCCTGCAAGGGCAGCCCATCCCGCTGCCAGACGTCGGCCGATCTCTGCGCGGTGCGGCGGGCGACCGCCTCTGGGACGGCCACGCCGCGCGAGCCCCTGGCGCGTGCACACCGCCGCGGCCCTCGCGGGTGGGAGCGAGGCCGACCTACGAGTGCCGCCCGAAGCTGGCCGCGACGCTTGCGTTCCCCCATCATCCTGTGGTGTCGGGTCCTCGTTTTGAAAAGACGGCGCCCCGCGTTCCTCGCTCCTCCTTCCTCAGTCCTCCTTACTTCTCCCCCTCCTCCTCATGTTCCTCATCCTCCCCCTTCTTCCTCCCTCAGTCCTGCTTCTGCCCCCCGCATGTCCATTGAGGCACGCAACTCACACGCTTCGTGGCCCCACAGGGAGCTCCACCGAGGGCCCCAGTAGCACAGTCCGCATGGCGTACCCGCACCCTATTCAGCAGACCCCTCGCACGCTTCGTGACCCCATAGGGAGCTACACCGAAAGACCCCAGCGACACAGTCCGCAGGGGGCCCGCACCCGACTCGGCACACCCTCGCACCTGTCGCTGCCTCATCTGAGGTTCCACCGAAGGCCCCAGCGGCACAGTCCGCATGGCGTACCCGTACCCGATTCGGCACACCCCTCGCACGTTTCGTGGCCCCAGCGAGAGCACCACCGAAAGACCCCAGCGGCACACTCCGCTTGGCGTACCCCCTCCCGATCCGGCACACCCCTCGCACGTTTCGTGGCCCCAGCGGGAGCACCACCGAAAGACCCGAGCGGCACAGTCCGCATGGCGCACACACACGCGCTTCGTGGCCCCATAGGGGGCTGCACCGAGGGCCCCAGCGGCACAATCCGCATGGCGTACTACCCGATTCGGCACACACACACACACACCACGTTTCGTGGCCCCGAGGGGGGGCTCCACCGAGAACGACTCTCGCAACTGCGGTACTGCCAACTGCAGGTGGTTGGGTCGTTGCGCTGGGCTATTTTTTGTGTCGGGGGGCGAGGCGGAGGCGAAAGGAGAGGGCGCAACAACGAGAATGCCGATACCGGAATCACCATGAGCAGCGCGGGTGTCTGGAGCAGAGCAACAGGCGATACGAAGTCACCAGTAAAACGCACCAGGGCCGCAGAGAAGGAGGACGAGGAGGAGGAGGGAGAGGAAGAGGACGCCCAAAGCAGGCAAACTGGGAACGTCGCTAGAGCCAGCCTGCCATAAGCGAATTCAAGCAACTTCTGCGGGGTAGGCAGCGTTCGCCACTGAACGGCCCGCGGTGAAGAGCGAACACTGCTCAAAGCGGACAAAAGGTGCTGTCGGTCATCATCCTCGGTCGCCCGGTTCCCATGTCGGGCGCCTCGAGGATTAGCAAAGTACTGACTGGCATGTCGTGCGGATCTTCTGGGGGAGATTTGCCTGCCTGGGGCGCGTGGCCGATGCTGCACCCCTGCTCTGATGCCTCCAGCTCCCTTCTACCACACCCCCTCCTCCTCCTCCTCCTCCTCCTCCTCCTCCTCCTCCTCCTCCTCCTCCTCCTCCTCCCTGCTCCTCCTCCTCCTCCTCCTCCTCCTCCTCCTCCTCCTCCTCCTCCTCCTCCTCCTCTTCCTCCTCCTCCTCCTCCTCGTCATTGCCCTTTCCAGGACCTGGTCCGATTTCGGTCCGATTGGCGAAGCGTTCCCTCTTGCGGGTGGAGGCATGGGTCATCACTGCCGGCTCGCCAGCACGCACACGCGTCGCGTGGACCGTGGCACTGAGAACGGCCCTCTGGCGGCGCACACACACACAGACACAACACACACACACACAAACAAACAAACAAACAAACAAACAAACAAACAAACAAACAAACAAACAACCACACACACACACACACACACACACACACACACACGCACAAACAACCACACACACACACTTTTAAGTCAGCGGCGCAGAGGAGCCTCAGGCGCGGTCAGCAGATGGAAGTGTTCATTGCGAAACAACTTCGTCGTAACGTGCAGTGAAAGAAACGCCCACCACGATACACCACACTCACACACACACACACACACACACACACACGGGGAGACGACAGGGCGGCAGGTCAAGAAAAGGATAGAGGTAGAGAAATCAGCATAAAGAGGAACTTTCGGAGGTCCGCGCGGATTTCTTGGATCGGCCTGGACTGGCGGGGTCCAGCGCAGACGCGGGAAATCCGCGCGGACCTCCGAAAACTGATGTCTTTGCCGGCTTCTGGCCTCAAGAGAGGGACGAAGGGAGAGAGAAAAGGGGGAGGGAGGGAGGGCGGGCGGGAGGGAGGGACGGAGGGCGGGAGGGAGAGAACAGGGCGGGAGGGAGGGCGGGAGGGAGGGAGGGCGGGCGGGAGGGAGGGAGAGAGAAAAGGGGGAGGGAGGGAGGGAGGGAGGGCGAGAGGGAGAGCGGAAGGGAGGGAGCGCACACACGCCGCGGCAGCTGCAGCGTCGAGCGGCGGCGGCGGCCCCCCCTCGGCTCCTGCTCGACTGCTTGGCGCTCAGCTTCGAAAGCCTCGGGGGCCTGCTGGAGGTCAGCACGGGCTGGCTGGCGGCGGGCCTGGGCGGGAGCGGGGCACTCGGCCCTGGGGCATGAGCGGACCTCCCTCCCGTGGGCTCCCACCGTGGATGCCAGGGGGGGGCATGGGCGTGCCGGATATATCTGTGAGAGCGTTGCTGTTGGTCTTCCTCCATCCGGACACCTTCGGATTCAACGGTGCGCATCCCGCAACAGCAACATGCAGACCGTGAGAATGAGAAAAAGACTGGGCGCGCCTGTCGGTGATGCCGCAGCTGCCGTCGAAAAGAGAAGCGGCACCGGCACGACACGACAGGACAGGCCTCCTCCTCCTCCTCCTCCTCCTCCTCCTCCTCCTCCTCCTCCTCCTCCTCTCCTCTCCCTCGTTTCCTCCTCCTCCTCCTCCTCCTCCTCCACCCTCCTCCTCCTCCATCCTCCTCCTCCTTCTATCCTCCTCCCCCTCCTCCTCCTCGTTTCCTCGCTTACTCCTCCTCCCCCCTCTTCCTCCTCCTCCTCCTCCTCCTCCTCTCCTCCTCCTCCTCCTCCTCCTCCTCCTCCTCCTCCTCCTCCTCCTCCTCCTCCTCCTCCTCCATTCCTTCTCCTGATAAATAGTTTATCCCTGTCCCCGAGGACACATGGCCCTTCTCCCTCTTCCCTCCTCCCCCCTCGCCATGGCGTCGTGCCTCCCACTGGAACGTGCGACGCCGCCCTCCACTGTTCCTTGCACCACTCTGGTGCTCCCTCACTCTTCCGCCGCGACTGACCGCTCTCCATGAGGCGTATGGCCCTTTGGGCTGGGCGCCTCTCCGCACCTGGCTTGGCACCTCCTCGGTGCCCTCCCTCAACTCTCCTCCTTGCGACGTACCTTCCGTTTGGGACGCGCTTCGCTCACACACTGTCTCCTGCGCCATTCGGTGGTTCTCTGCTGCACCACGCTGGACCGCCCATTGGGCCGCCCGGCGTCGTTACCCGGTTTCTGCACCTTTCGGTGCTCCCCGCCGCCGCCGCCGCTTCGCGACGTACCTCCCGTTTGGGACGCGCGTCGCTCACCCACTGGTGCCCGCGCCATTTCGGTGGTTCTCTGCTGCACCACGCTGGACCGCCCATTGGGCCGCCCGGCGTCGTTGCCCAGTTTCTGCACCTTTCGGTGCTCCCCGCCGCCGCCCCCTCGCGACGTACCTCCCGTTTGGGACGCACTTCGCTCACCCACTGGCCCCTGCACCATTTCGGTGCTTCTCTGCTGCACCACGCTGGACCGCCCATTGGGCCGCCCCGCGTTGCTACCCGGCTTCCGCACCTTTCGGCGCTCCCCTCCTTCCGCGGCAACCCCGCGCTGCCTCCTCCCGTTGCGTTGCTGTTGCGCCCGGCCGCCTGCGGGCGCATGGGACGCTTCGCCCGCCGCCCCCTGCCCCACCTCTCCCGGCCCCCTGGCCACCGGGCGCTCCGTTGGGCGGTCACGCCGCAATGCCCTTTTCACTGCCAGCCATCTGGCTGCGTTGCTCCTGCCTCCGCACGGCTCAGTGCTGTGCCCACTCCTCGGCGCGCCGCGGTACCTCCGCCGTTCGTGGTGTCCCACTGCGCCCGCCCGCCAGCTCCAGCCAGCTGCTGGCAGCCGCCCTCCCGCCACCCTTGCCACCGTGGTTTGCCACGGCCGCCCACCGCGCTCTGGCCTTGCGCGCCTGGCTGCTGCTGACCCCCCCGGCTGTTCATCGTCGAACTCTTCGACTTCTGAGCGTCCCTTCTTCCTCTCGGTCGTCCCCCCCACCTCTTTGCCCGCCGACCAATTCGCTAGTTAGTGCCCCTGTCTAGCTTCTCGCTGGAACGGAGTTCGCCGTTTCGCCGCCGACAGAAGGAGTCCCCGAGGCAAAGGTTCAGGGCGGGCCGGGCGTTTCGCCTGAAACTTCCGCACCATTTACGACCCTGAACTTCAAAAATTGGCAACAGCTTCAAAGATGGAGAGCGATTCGTTTTCATAATGTGGTTCTCGCCTTAGCGCGGCGCACATTCGTTCTCAACATTTGCAAGAGGTTCATGGATTGCGGGCGGGTCGTTTTCAATATGCGCCGCTCGCATTAACGCGGCGCACATTCGTTATACGAATTGCAAGAGTTTCACGGGTTGAGGGCGACCCGTTTTCAAAATGTGGTTCTCGCTTTAGCGCGGCGCATATTCGATTTAAAAAGTTGCAAGAGGTTCGCGGATTGAGGGCGACCCATTTTCAAAATAATGTTCTCGCACTAGCGCGGCGCACTTTCATTGTAAAATTTGCAAGAGCTTCACGGACTGAGGGCCTCTCCTTTTCAAAATGTGGCTCTCGCCTTAGCGCCGCGCACATTCGTTTGCAGAAGTTGCAAGAGTTTCACGGGTCCCCATCATCAACGAACCAGAAATGGTGCTTTGAACGGGTTCAAGATTACGCGGGCGCAGTTACGTTGATTCGCTGTCTTGAAGTCCCAGGAATGGTGTTCTTTCACGATTCAGGATCATCAAGACGCAACAGTCAGGTTGCCCCGTGGCGCTGGAATCCCGAGAACAATGTTTTGCACGCTTCATGGTCTTCAAATGGTTGCCTTCCAACGAGGCAGTTTCCTCAGTGGAAATGAACCGTTGTAGGAGCCTATGAAGAGGAAGATTGGAGGGCGGGTTTATCCAGCATCGTTGATGACTCTTGGGTGTCAACTGGTCCTCCTCCTCCTCCGCATTCTTCTCCGCCTTCTCCTCCTCATGTTCCTTCTCCTCCCCCTCTTCCTACTCCGCAAAATTCTCATTATCATCATCCTCCTCATCATCATACTCATCATCAGCATCATCAGCATCAGCATCAGCATCATCAGCAGCATCAGCATCCGCATCAACACCATCATCATCATCATCATCATCATCAT